GACTGAAGAAACAAATCGAATGATGCCCGGACAACGTTTTCGCGCCGTATTTATATGATCGGGCCGTCGCGCGGACCAATCACGGCGCGGTATCGCGCGAACCCCCTCTGTTTCGGCAGGTCGTTCCGTCGACCAATGAGAACTCGCGCCTATGATCCGAATTTGTATATATATACGAGCTCATTCGGTGTGCGGAGACATATTCGACCGTTTCGAGTTTTCACAGACAGTTTACGAACTACCGACATGGCCCGTACCAAGCAAACCGCCCGCAAATCTACCGGAGGCAAGGCTCCCAGGAAGCAGTTGGCCACCAAAGCCGCCCGCAAGAGCGCACCGGCGACCGGAGGAGTGAAGAAACCCCATCGTTACCGTCCCGGTACCGTGGCTCTCCGTGAAATCCGTCGTTACCAGAAGAGCACCGAGCTGTTGATCCGCAAATTGCCTTTCCAACGTTTGGTCCGTGAGATCGCCCAAGACTTCAAGACCGACTTGCGTTTCCAGAGCTCGGCCGTCATGGCTCTGCAAGAAGCCAGCGAAGCATACTTGGTCGGTCTGTTCGAAGACACCAACTTGTGCGCTATCCACGCCAAGCGCGTTACCATCATGCCCAAGGACATCCAGTTGGCTCGCCGTATTCGCGGAGAACGTGCTTAATCGTCTCAATACTCTACAAATCCTCTTTAAAACGGCCCTTTTCAGGGCCACTACATGCGTTACAATTATTTCTTTATTGACCTTACAGCGGGCGCCGCGCTGTTGGTAAAATGAATACAACAGTTTTGTACTTAATAGTTTTATTATTATCGACGGTCGTGGGTATCCCCCCGAGAATGTTGTTACTTACATTTTTAAATTAATGTTGAAAATTCCCAACGACCCGTTTTTATTGAAGTATTATTTATATTAAAAAAAAAAGCGGGTAAAAGAATAGGCGGTAGACACGGCGGTGGCGATGGACGACGAACGGGTCGGTGTAGCGTTAGGCACAGTGTGAAACGTATTTTTGGCGCGCGCGGGAAGTAGTCGGCGGCGACGGCGGCCGCGTTATAGTCGATATGAGTTTGTTAGGTTGTAGAACGCGGTGTGTAAAGGAATTATTATTTTCTATACTCTGCGCCATGAGAGAAGTAACCCGTTTCGCGCATCACGACTGTCCCGAGGCCCCATTTCCCCCACTTTGTGCCATTCGGTGTCGCGCTGAGGCGTGCATACAGCGCGAAACAGACGATATACAGAGTGATTGTGTATAGAGTATATTATTTATTATAATTTATAAATATTTATATTTATAAATTAACATAATTTATTATATTATTATTTTATTTATTATAATAATATAATATGTTATTATTATAACATATTTTTACAACCAGGTCAAGTGAGGTCAGAGGTTTTTGTGTACAGGCAAAGGAAAGCCGCGTCCCGACTTTTGGTGTACAGGCAAAGAAATGACGCATCCCAAACCTTCGTGTATAACCTAATTATATAAATTAAAACTAAAGAATATTTAAATTAAATATGAATTTAATATTTATTATAAAATATATAATATATTATTTATTATTATATTATTATTATAATAATAATATAATAATGTAATAATTCAACAGTAAACGCAAGCGCGTGGTTCAAAGACGTAAGACGTGAGTCTTATGACTTGTGACACACTGTATCGAGTTTACGTTATAATACACCCTATATATGCAGCGCCGCCGCCGACCGTGGGTGTGGCCTATCGGTGGCGATGCGCGGAATCGGACGCGTTTCGGTCGAGCAACGGGTTACTTCTCTCATGGCGCAGAGTATATCCGGTTTGTCCGACGGGAGGGATGGACGCGTTACTAAAAAAAAAAAATAAAAAACCCCGTAGATTGTGGCGCGTCGTTTAAAACTATATTATCTGAAAGTAGGTAGATACGGGCTCCGCACGTTTCCGCGGCACTGAATTTAAAACACACGGACAGTGATTTTAGGAAAATATGAAAAAACCCGTTTAATAAAATGTCCAAAACAAACGGTCTTTACCTACAAATTGCAATTTTTTTTACATACATATATAGCTAATTTAAGTGTTATCTATAGCTAATATTGTTTTCCCGTTTTTTTTCTAATTTGTGTAGTAATTTTATAAATTTTTAGTAATATAATGTGAATAAATTCGATGAATGTACAAATAAAACACACGTGTACAGACCAACGACAAACATAATAAATGATACAAAAGACGATAACGCACACGGCGTCAAAACAAAAGGCGGTCGTCGGTCGGTGATATTGTCTATACAAATTAAAAACCCCAGATATTAATAACTTAAATAGGGTACAACACTACGAATAATAATAATATTATAACGGGAGACGAGACCGTGTATCAAAATAATTTGGTGGCCCTGAAAAGGGCCGTTTTAAGTGGATATAGCGCGCGACTAATATCGAAACGCTTATTTGGAACTGGTGTACTTGGTCACGGCCTTGGTGCCTTCACTGACGGCGTGCTTGGCCAATTCACCGGGCAACAGCAGACGGACGGCGGTCTGGATCTCCCGGCTGGTGATGGTCGAACGCTTGTTGTAGTGGGCCAGACGGCTGGATTCGGCGGCGATGCGTTCGAAAATGTCGTTGACGAAGCTGTTCATGATGCTCATCGCCTTGGAGGAAACGCCGGTGTCGGGGTGGACTTGTTTCAACACCTTGTAGATGTAAATACCGTACGATTCTTTCCTCTTCGGCTTGCGCTTCTTGTCGGACTTGGTGATGTTTTTCTGCGCCTTGCCGGACTTCTTCATGGCCTTGCCTGCGGATTTACCTCCTGGTGCCATAGTGACTGCGGTTGTACACGGTTTGCGGGTCGTCGAAATAGTTGGCCGGTAGCTGGTGGACGAATGATGGTTCGAAAATCGTTTACGCTCATATTTATTACGCGTCGCGACTTGGTTTATCGAGTACGGTTTGTAAGAGTCGACGAAAAAACGACGAGTAAAAATAACACTTTGTGTTTAAAGGCGAACCCTACAATTTGCCGTTTTTTCATCGTCAACGTCCATGCATCGAAGAAAAACACGACGAGTATAAACAACACTTTGCATTGAACGTTTATATCTACAAAGTGTGGTTTTTCATCGTCGTTATTTTCAAACGTAGGCCAACATACAGACGCTTTTACGTCGTAAAAGTGTATAAATACCGATTTTGGCCCGTTTCGATCATCAGTATCGTCTGGATTTTCTCTCGTTTCACTACACGACAATCTACAATCGAGCATCATGACCGGACGCGGCAAAGGAGGAAAAGCAAAGAGCGGCAAATCGAAGACCCGGTCGTCCCGTGCCGGACTCCAGTTCCCGGTCGGTCGTATCCATCGTCTGTTGAGGAAGGGCAACTACGCCGAGCGCGTCGGTGCCGGCGCTCCCGTGTACCTGGCCGCCGTCATGGAGTACTTGGCCGCTGAAGTGTTGGAGTTGGCCGGTAACGCCGCCCGTGACAACAAGAAGACCCGTATCATCCCCAGACATTTGCAGTTGGCCATCAGGAACGACGAGGAGTTGAACAAACTGTTGTCCGGCGTCACCATCGCCCAAGGCGGTGTGTTGCCCAACATCCAAGCCGTCCTTTTGCCCAAGAAGACCGAAAAGAAAGCTTAAGAACGCGTCGTCGCCGTATTTATACATATTAAAACGGCCCTTTTCAGGGCCACCAAATATTAACTAGTTATACAACACTCTTGTTGTTTTCGGCATAGATGACGTGCGGCGTTGTGCTAAATATCGTTGTATTATTTTGTCAAGCCTTAGAAAATATAAGTATATTTAAAAAAAAATAATTGTAACATAGAATTTCAACAAATCTACCTTAGTCCTTTTTTTATTTTTTCAAGGTCAAAAGCAATTTATAAAATGTGTCTGTTAACTTAAATTGGAAATAATACTCAAGTATAGTAATATACATAAATACTTTTTTTTTTTTTTTTTTTTGTCTTTTCATTAATATTGTCATCAATGTTAATAGATTTAGATCAAAGACTTACAATATTATGTACCCATTTGCGATTACAAATATACAATTAGTATGTTACATTTTTTATACTATATTATACATTTAGTTTGTTTTGTGACGATTAGCATGTATATTACGGAGTACATATCATTCTGTATGTACTATAAAATATTAATTTGAACAATTACATAGTATACCGTTAAAACTACTCGTGTATGTTATTTATTATAAAGGCAATACACTATAACGTTATGTTAGTTTATACGGTATATATACTTAGAACACTCATTAAATATACTCGACTGCATTAAATGACATATGAACGTTAACCGATAATAATGTAAATAATATAAAATGGTGGCCCTGAAAAGGGCCGTTTTAAAGAACAGTAGGTAGGGTGCAAAGCGAACGGTCGTCGGGAATTAACCTCCGAATCCGTACAGAGTGCGGCCTTGGCGTTTCAGAGCGTAGACCACGTCCATGGCGGTGACGGTCTTCCTCTTGGCGTGCTCGGTGTAGGTGACGGCGTCGCGGATTACGTTTTCCAGGAACACCTTCAACACTCCGCGGGTCTCTTCGTAGATCAGGCCGGAGATACGTTTGACACCACCGCGGCGGGCTAACCGACGAATGGCCGGCTTGGTGATTCCTTGGATGTTGTCCCGGAGCACTTTACGATGACGTTTGGCGCCTCCTTTTCCCAAACCTTTTCCTCCTTTGCCGCGTCCGGTCATTGTTGCTGATTGTCGTTCGGAGAGCTGCGGTAGACTGAAGAAACAAATCGAATGATGCCCGGACAACGTTTTCGCGCCGTATTTATATGATCGGGCCGTCGCGCGGACCAATCACGGCGCGGTATCGCGCGAACCCCCTCTGTTTCGGCAGGTCGTTCCGTCGACCAATGAGAACTCGCGCCTATGATCCGAATTTGTATATATATACGAGCTCATTCGGTGTGCGGAGACATATTCGACCGTTTCGAGTTTTCACAGACAGTTTACGAACTACCGACATGGCCCGTACCAAGCAAACCGCCCGCAAATCTACCGGAGGCAAGGCTCCCAGGAAGCAGTTGGCCACCAAAGCCGCCCGCAAGAGCGCACCGGCGACCGGAGGAGTGAAGAAACCCCATCGTTACCGTCCCGGTACCGTGGCTCTCCGTGAAATCCGTCGTTACCAGAAGAGCACCGAGCTGTTGATCCGCAAATTGCCGTTCCAACGTTTGGTCCGTGAGATCGCCCAAGACTTCAAGACCGACTTGCGTTTCCAGAGCTCGGCCGTCATGGCTCTGCAAGAAGCCAGCGAAGCATACTTGGTCGGTCTGTTCGAAGACACCAACTTGTGCGCTATCCACGCCAAGCGTGTTACCATCATGCCCAAGGACATCCAGTTGGCTCGCCGTATTCGCGGAGAACGTGCTTAATCGTCTCAATACTCTACAAATCCTCTTTAAAACGGCCCTTTTCAGGGCCACTACATGCGTTACAATTATTTCTTTATTGACCTTACAGCGGGCGCCGCGCTGTTGGTAAAATGAATACAACAGTTTTGTACTTAATAGTTTTATTATTATCGACGGTCGTGGGTATCCCCCGAGAATGTTGTTACTTACATTTTTAAATTAATGTTGAAAATTCCCAACGACCCGTTTTTATTGAAGTATTATTTATATTAAAAAAAAAAGCGGGTAAAAGAATAGGCGGTAGACACGGCGGTGGCGATGGACGACGAACGGGTCGGTGTAGCGTTAGGCACAGTGTGAAACGTATTTTTGGCGCGCGCGGGAAGTAGTCGGCGGCGACGGCGGCCGCGTTATAGTCGATATGAGTTTGTTAGGTTGTAGAACGCGGTGTGTAAAGGAATTATTATTTTCTATACTCTGCGCCATGAGAGAAGTAACCCGTTTCGCGCATCACGACTGTCCCGAGGCCCCATTTCCCCCACTTTGTGCCATTCGGTGTCGCGCTGAGGCGTGCATACAGCGCGAAACAGACGATATACAGAGTGATTGTGTATAGAGTATATTATTTATTATAATTTATAAATATTTATATTTATAAATTAACATAATTTATTATATTATTATTTTATTTATTATAATAATATAATATGTTATTATTATAACATATTTTTACAACCAGGTCAAGTGAGGTCAGAGGTTTTTGTGTACAGGCAAAGGAAAGCCGCGTCCCGACTTTTGGTGTACAGGCAAAGAAATGACGCATCCCAAACCTTCGTGTATAACCTAATTATATAAATTAAAACTAAAGAATATTTAAATTAAATATGAATTTAATATTTATTATAAAATATATAATATATTATTTATTATTATATTATTATTATAATAATAATATAATCATAATAATAAAATGTCAATTCAAATAGCCGACGTCCCGCCAGTCGCCTAATCGTCTCTTCCATGGGATTCGTATAATACATCTGGCTCATAGACAAGCATAAAGGCGGCTTGGGCAGCGCGTGGCGTTGGCGCGCGTTTTTATCATGTCACGACGTTATCGTATCAAATAATAACGGTGACGGCGTGTGTTGTTTTTTTTGCCGAGTTTGTACTTTCCTTAAATTAAATTAAACGTAAAATTATTATTATTATTATTAATTACACTGTTGTTCATTATCATACGTGGTTTTTTATTCAATAGTGTTTCCCGGTGTGTCAAACGTTATCATATATATAATAATGAAAATTAAAAACGGCGAACGGCGTGTTTTGTTTTTTTTGGTGAATTTTTGTCTTTGTAGTTTGTTATATTACATACATATAATTATATATTAAACGTATAATAGTTATTATTGATTACATATTTGTCCGTAATTCGCTCACGGTTTTCGTTCAAGAGAAATCGACGTGTTTCCCGGTGAGCAAACATTATCTATTAATATGCGTCGTTGGATGTCGGTACGTTTTTTAGATTTAGAATATATATAATAATATATAGTATAGTAGTATATTACATTTCGCTTAAACCAAATTATCAAATTAATTAGATGTACAAAATTCTTATCTTTTTCAAACCGCTGTGTGTGGTGATAACGATACATTTCATATTTTTTGTTGAAAAATTTGTTGACTACTATTTATTTTCAACTAAATAACTTACTGACTTATTTTATATATATGTAAATTATTTGTTTTAGGCCAATACTATAGTGAAATCATAACCGACGCTTGTCCGTTTAGAAGATTGATTGCTACTTCTATCTACTCTGTCTTTAATTAATACAATAAGTAGTTATTATTGTTACCATTGGTTACAGACTGTTATCCTATGCCGTCACCGATTAATTTGCCTGCGGCCAACAGAAAACTTACACCGTAGAAGTTCATTTTTTGTTATTTATGAAGTATTTTTTAATAATTAGTGCCTATCTAATCTCTATACTCAACCCTAATTTAAATTGACAGTTTTTTTTCATTATACAGTGTCTTAACCGACTTCTCTTAACGCTTTAGTTTCTTAACGTGCACACACATACGATACTAATGTACAAATAATTAAGACATTAATTATTTCAAAATTTTTTGTTAAAGCTGTACAATTATGATCACTACATAGAATAAAAATTATTTTAGTTTTTGTATATATTTTTTTTTAATGATATATTATTTCACGTTAAATTGGCATTATTTGAATATATTTTAATTATTTCATTTAGTAGGATGATTTACCTATATAAATATGTATGATCACTATCGAGTACTATCACTAACCGTTTGGGGTTTTTAAAATTGTTTTTTGACTTAATTTGTGGTTTTAATATTTTAACTTTGGAAAATTCATACATTGTAGGTAAGCTATGTGGAAATCAACAATTCAAGCTAAGAAAAATCTAATAATTGTCATTAAAGTTAAAAATATAGTTTGTATTCTTTGAAATTGACAAACATATAACTTTATTTTTTTAAATCATGTATCTGATTTCACTTTCCAGATAATTTTTTTTTTAGGAAGTATTATTGTAAATTATTTAGTAGAAAAACATTTATTTACTTATCTAAAAATAACATAATACATGGATTAATTAAAAAAAAGTTTATTGTTGTTAAAATAATAATATATATATATAATGAAAAATATTTTTTTAAATAATAATAATAGTATATTTGATGCACTGAATAAAAATTGTTCAGATCTAAAAACAATCGATTTTTAGTTTTATACACCTGGGGCTACTTTTGTGTGCTTAAAATTTATATACATTATTGACATAAAATATCTATGTGTTCATTCCGCTCTAATAAGAAATAACTATATCACATGATCTAATTTATTTTAATCACATTATACATAGCAACATCTTTGCTATTGTAATCATTCCAGTTTTTACTCCCTGGCTTTATAATACTTATTTAACCAACGAATAAATGCATTTTTACACAGTCTTATTATAAAAAATTATAGGTATGTTTTTTAAAAGCATCAGCAAAAGTCCCTATATCATCTTTTTAAATTCTTAAAACAGTTGTCTTTAGATAATTTTAGCGTTCAACATTTTGTGTTCTTAGACCGTTTTTATGAGTAGTAATCAAAAATCAAAAAAATTGTCTGAACATTTATTTTTACTAACTATTTAATGTTAATTTTTTATATTATATGTATGTATATATATTTTGTTTTTTTTTGAGCTGCTGTTGATATAGCTTGAACTAAATTAGATACTTATTAATATTGACTATTTTGGTTTTTTTTGTGGTGTGATTTCAGACATAGGGCATAATTAAAACATAAAAATAATCATTTTATTTCATTTTAACATTTTGAAGCATGGTGGTATAAGTAATTTACTACTTTTTCAAAAAACAGCCTACTCTCGCACAGTGGTATATATTTATTACCACCTTCATAATCATGTTCAGAGAAAATCGGAGAAAAAAATGCTGTGCTTCAAAGGGTTAAAATTTATATTGAAATTCAACATTTAATTTACTATTTTATTATTTATAGAAGTATAATTATAAGTATTCGCTCCACCCTAAAAAAGTATAGTAAATCTATAGATTTTGCTATATTTTTTTAAATTGATACTACATAATAAAAAATAAAATTATTTTAAAATTTTTGATTATTATCATTTAGTAGGATGAATTGTTGGTTAGCCATCTAAAAATATATCAACATATGGATTTATATACCTTTCATGGTTTACTTAAAAAAGTATTAATGTATATATCAATTTATCTATTATGTATAAAATATGTCTGGATAAGTATCAAATAATTTAGGTATTTTATGCACTGAATATTATTATTATTATCATTTTGTACTCTGACCGTTTTTATAATCACCGCCGGACACTCGAATAATCAAAAATATTTGCTACAAATTATTTCAGACATTTCATTTATGTTTTGTACTCTTGAGTTCCCAAGTAACCGTCACACAAACATATCATTCTTCCACACTTTTAAACTTCTAATAACCAACAAACGTCAGACCTTAAGTATCAAAGTACCTTTAGCATTAAAGGTCCAGATCCAAAAACTAAAAGATTTGCATCGAGACATTTCAATTAACCTCTCTTTGGACATTTTTATAAGCTCTGCCAAATAGTCGATCGATAATAATGTATTTATCACTCTTCACTTCTTTCCCTTTTAAGTTTTAATATAATCTAGACATTTCATTCATGTGATTTACTCTTGAATTCTTAAACACTTATGAACTTCTGTTAAACCACCAGACCTTTAATATACATATTTAATGCATTATGCTGTTGGTTACATTCTAAACGTACAGTACGTCATTACCGAATAATGGCATAGACGGTGATTTCTGAACAAATAAGGATTTTAATTCAACCAATATCTAGACATATAACGTATACGTTTGAAAAAGTTTTGTTGCAAATAGGAACACCATATCAGACATATACAGACTGACCTCTAAACATTTTTTTCTATTTTGAACCATAGCTATTACCAAGCCCGTGAAGTAAACAACACCTCAAACAATTCAAATTAAAAAAAAAAAAAAAATTGTCCTTTAAGCAAGTAGCACACTCGCTTTAGTAGTAGGACGTTTCTGATCTGACAGATAGCTAGACTTGCACTACAGTTAACCGGTACTTAGCTTGCAAAACACTTTTTCGAAACTAAGTATGAACTATGATTACTAGATAAAGGTACGATGAATTATAACGGTATACTTTAAAACGTAGTGAGCTGACTCGGCCCCTCGGAACCGCTGTGTACAGACATATAACATACTACGTTTAAACAAATTTTGTTTCACAAAGGCAAACCTTAACAGACATTTAGCTGACTGTCCTCTAGACATTTTTATCTGTTTTCAACTCATAAAGTTAAGCGGAATGACACCGGCCTATATTGATGACGTGGTCTATAATATAACAACTTTTACCAAAGACAATTTCCATTATACACTTTTTCCCAATGGCCAGCTTCTTATCAAGCCTCTTTAACTTTTTAAAATTTTAATTTAAACTTAATTTTAA